ACATTTTGTACTTATCAACCCAATACTACTGCACTTGCAGTATCCAAAGTCAATGATTTATGATATCGTTGTCGGTAACATAGATCAAAGTTCACCGTATCTCTCGCTAGAGTGTGTGGTGGTATATTCTCTTTTAACTTAATCTTTTAACTGTTATTACTACTTTTAATCACAAGTAGTGCCTCAAGAAGGCCTACTGAAATGAAATAATACTATACTCTGCATGAAAGAACCTTTCTCCTGACCCGCTATAGAATACTTCTACAGAATATACCTAGGGCTGGCCAGCTGTTTTAGGGCCCGGAATAGTCACAGCTATAAGGAGGTTCATGAGATGGATTCAATTATACATACTTATAACAAGGGATATGTTAACAACTCAAAATTTTATAATCTAGCGTGAAATAAGTCTATATCCAAGTATTGGATACAAAAATAATAGAAAATAAAAATTTATTCTTCGAGTAACTTCCCTGGGAAGTGGCTATTGCCGCAGTTTCCATGGTAACCATAGAATAAAGAGTTATTATTGGTGTATTTTTTAGCAGGGAATATTCTTTGATATATTACTAAATTTTTAGTTAATTAATCTTTTTATTCCACTACTTTACTTTATTTCTTGTTAAGACCCAAACCCACAAAAACGGTATATTTTCTTTTGGATCATTAAGACCCCAAAACACTAGTCTTTCAATTTACGTACAGTATCTACTAATTTCGTCCCATATTTCTCTCAGGGGTATGTCTGTAATAGAAAATATTCCCAGCTGTTTTTGGTCATTGTTAAATAAATTGTTGAAGAATAAAAATTGTTTACCTTGAATGAGTAGGCTTTATTTAACACAATTCAAGTAATGGAGTTCATAAGTAAGAGTTAAATCTAGAGAATTAAATAATGATTACAAACATTCAATATAAGCAAATAAAACAACAATGTCCAACAACAGCTGGGAATATTTTCTATCACATTGATTGCCAGATGGGCGTGGGACAACAGTGTCTTAACTTAGCTCCTTGTGGAAAACAAGCTGAGAGAACAGATTTTGATGATAGTTCAACACCAGAGAACCACACAATAGAACTGAGTAACGATGGAAACGAAACTTAGTACACGAAACCCAAGATGTGTCTCATCCCGATGCAGAAGTGATAGAAGAATCTACAACTCAAGAGCCTCTACAAACCTTAAGGCCTGATGAAACCCAATCAAAGAGACGAAGCTCAAGACAGAAGAGACTACCTTCTCATCTTAAAGACTTTAAATTACATTAGCAGGGAAGAATGTGAGGTTTATTTTTAAAAGTGTTTTCTTCAAGCAGCATTTTATGACCCTCAAAATATGGTACATAGGCCTATTGGTTTGATATGATAAAATGTTTTGTTAAATGTGTTTATAAAAATCTTAAAAAAAATAACTACCATATAACATACTTGAACTTGAACACTTATTAATTTACTAAATATGATACGTATACAGCTAGAAAATGGCTGGACTGCTTCCCTTCTAAGGCCTTATTATTACTGTATTTAGTTTTTGACGTTGAGTCAATATATAACACGATGAATTTGTTTTCTAAATTCATATGTTTTTTGCGAGGCATTGAGCCGCACAGGTTCACTAGTCATTATTTCATTCTCTAGATTTAACTCCTACTTATGAATTCCATTACAGTACTTGAATTGTGTTAAATAAAGCCTACTCATTCAAGGTAAACAATCTTTATTCTTCGACATATGTCTCAACGCAGTTCACAGTCAACTCGACATTTTAAAAACAGTCAACAATATGATATCAACTGATTTAACAAGGTTTATCCAATCCCACCCAGTCTAATTTTATCGAGTGTTGCGTTAGGTATTGAGTGTAAATTGTCTTGGATTGCTGTGTAAAAGATCGCAATAAACAGTCATACCTTTCATTAATTAAGACAAGAAACCACTTTAAACTCATATTGAGAAATGATAATTGTTGCAGAGTTTATTTAAACACAAAACTTTAGGGCTGTCCAATTAAGAAAATTTGCTGCACGGTGAGTGATTTTAGAAATATAAGTTCTGTACCACATAAATTGTCTTAGTAAATACAATCGTAAGTGTCGTACGAGCGTGGTGTACTTATGTTATAAATCCGACTTGGTTAAACACGTGTATATTTTTTAATGTTAAAAAGATTTTGTTGAAAAAATATGGATGTTGAATAATAAATTCAGTAATAATAACCAGCGAGGATAAAATTTACCTTTGTGTGTATTTTTTGAATGAAGTATTCATATTTGTAATAGTAAATTGAGCATCAGTAATATCATTGATTATGGAAATACCGTGGTATGTAAAAGATGTATTTCAACAGTACAGAACATTACCATCGTCACCAATACACTTCTTCGCATACTTTCTCTCGACTCTTATTACTTTTTCTCTTGACTTACATGCGTACTGTGTTATAAGCAATGTTCTAGGTACAAAATGCTGGCATACACCATACACTGCAACTGTGGTATGTTGGCGATTGGATATAAAGAATTAGTAGACTATGCTATAAAAGCATTCTGTTCAGAAAATGCACAACATGCCTCTGCACAAAATGTTGGCATATGTCAAACTTTCCAGTTTCGTCTTTTAGAAATCGTTTTTTTTCAAATATAACGTAGATTGAGCATTATGTTTGACCTAAGTGATGTACTGTTTGAATTAAATGTGGATTTGATCACCATATTTGGCTATGGTACCATTCCATAAAAACGTGGTAGTAATTTGGACGAGAAATACATTAGGTTTATTGTGATAAACTATGTACATGTTAAAACTGAGGCATTTGAGTAATAAAAACAGGTTTTTAGTCAAAGTATTTTGCAATAGTTTACGGCTTGTAAATATCAAATTGGCTCATGTGTACTAAGATTTGCCATGACGAGGAACAGCATGAATAAATTTATGTATGGGGAAAAATGTACTGATATATTATAAATTTTATTATCACAGTAACCAGTAACCGTAGAGTAAATACGAATACTCTACTTTGTACTTTTAAGAAGATGTGATTGATCTAATTTTGTTAGTTAAATAAAATAGCAAATAAAGAATATTGTTCATACGAGAATGAGCACCTCTCCTTTTTTTGGTTAGTCGTTGATGAAAATCACCGGCAACGCTATGAGATCAGCACGTAGCAAGTCATTAAGGCCTGTTCACACCGGCGTAGCCCGACGTCTGCAGACGTATTCGGTGTATTAATACGTTGACCGTGCACTGTTCACACCGCAGCTACGTCTGACGGCTACGTAGCCGGTGAGCCGGCTGTTGTTGGTTTATTTTATTATAATATTTTTTTTTTTGCAATTTTATTGTTTATTTTTATTAGCGTTTTATGGATTTCAGTTAAGATTGTCACGGTTCAATTGCTGCTTTTATAGTATACCCTGAAAAGTCTGTTGATTAATGAGTTAATGTTGATAAACATGTTTCACTCTAATTTTAGGCCGTATATACAGTAGTAGACTATAAAACTTGTGATATATTATAATATAAAATAAATATTATCAGAAAACATGCAATAATTTTGCTCATCCATGGATTACATGATAAAATATTCTATGGTGTAAGTAAGACGTAGGCCTATGTCTAAAAATAATTCATTAATGTTTCATAAATATCAGCCCACAATATGAACCATAATAAGCCATAGAGAGACTTTTTTGATAAGGAGATTTACAAGCAAAATGTTAGTGAACATTAGGTACTCGTATGATGAAGTATTATTATATTGATCATATAAAGTTTTCTTGGTTGTTATGTTATAGCATTGAGTATAAACCTGTTATAGTGATTTAATGATTTTTTAAAGTGATTCTTAATTTTTGTGTTATAATCCAACATTTACCGCTTAAATAAATTTATTATAAGGTGGAGGGAGGGTGGCGGTGACAGTCCGGTGTGCTAGTGCGCATGCGCGTATTCGGCGATGCGAGCTACGCGTAGCTAGCCGGCGTAGCGGCAGCGCCGTAGCTTCCGTAGCTCACGTATTAATACGCCGGTGTGAACACTCTCTATGAATTACATTAAGAGCTACGTCAGCTACGTATTCCGAAAAAGTATTAATACGTCTGGCTACGCCGGTGTGAACAGTCCTTTAATGCGCCCCAACAAAAACCAAAAGGATTACAGTCTGGAAATTTCAAAAATTACCAAGACAGGAGCTTTTATATTAATTATTCTTACTAAGATAAACCAAATATTTAAAGCCTCTTTCGACAGTATAGTGTCATAAAATTCCCAACATTTACCAAAAGGAGATTACAGTTTCAAAATGTTAAAAAATAACCAAGCCACGAGCTTGTAGGTTAATTTTACATACTAAGATAAACCAAATATTTAAAGCCTCTTTCGACAGTAAAGTGTCATAAAATTCCCAACATTTACCAAAAGGAGGTTATAGTTTCAAAATGTTAAAAATTACCAAGCCAGGAGCTTGTAGGTTAATTTTACATACTAAGATAAACCAAATATTTAAACCCTCTTTTGACAGTATAATTTCATAAAATGCCCAACAAAAACCAAAGGGACTACAGTTTTGACATGTCAAAAATTACCAAATCATGAGCTTTTAAGTCAAGTCATACTAAGCTGAACCAAATATTTAAAGCCTCTTTCAACAGGAAAGTTCATAAAATGTCCCAAAAAATCAAAGAGAGGTTTCGAAATGCCAAACATTACATTAAGAGCTTTTAGATCATCCAGCAAGCAAATTACCCATAAAATCTTTATGTCTACAACTCCCAAGATTAGCTTTTGTAAACAACTTTTCCTCAGTATATGATCGTGTTCGTCTACTGACATTTTCAGCGTTACGCCATGATCGTAACACCATTACGTGGTCAATATTCCCCCGGGCCTTACCCTGGGTGGGGGAAAGTCCTTCGGGAGCACGTGACAAAAACTGGCTGAGAGAAAGTCACTTTCTACACTTTCCATTTCATCTGGGAGTCACAGAGAAAGGCGAGTTTTAGCAATGTTTTATTGAGTATTTACATTTCGTACAAAAATATTTTCTAGCTAGATGAATTGTGAAATGAATGGTGGCTTGATATCAATTATAACATGAGGACTTAAATTCTTCAAATGGTTTGATGATCATGCGGATGAAATGATGGTGAATTTTTGAAATCATGATGGTTTTGGTAATTTAACACATGTGTAAACAGAGACAAAAACGATTAAATATTTGTAAAAACGTTAACTACATTCACTAAATCACAGACATTGAAAGATTCGTTGGATAAATTGAACTATTTCGTCTAAATAAAACATAATAGACATTCTCAACAAATAAGAGCAGGAAAATTATTTGAAAAACATGCTATCAAGATACTCTAGAGCGATTCAAAGGATATACATAAATTATATTTATAAACCCTATTAAAGCTTTTTTACCGGTAAAACGTGTAATCTTTATGACTGAAGGTAATTTTTGGGAATGAGGAAATGCTATGAGCTACATGAATGGTGTCTTTGTATGATGGCAATGGATGACAGGCTATTATGAAATGATGGTATGATTTTAATGGTATGGTTGTGATGGTATGGGGTTGATGGTATGGTACATGATGACTATGGTGTTTTCATTCAGCGGTTCTTGCCGACCTGGTCAACCTGAGCTTGAAGGTTGTTGACCACCTCTGGAGGAACATGTTCACCCAAGATTTCAAAGAGGTTGATCCTTTCGTTGCCCGGGATGGATTCGATGGCGGCCAGTTCAATACCTTCTTGCACCTGAAAAAATAATTACGTCTCAAGAAAGGCATACTCTGATAATCAGTAAGCAATTAGTATAGAGTTACTTTGTCAGATTAACACAATTGTATATTAAAGGAAATAGTTCAGTATAAACAATACAATTAGGATCCCGTTTTTATGTAGCTTATGGCAATTATCCTTACAAAACCCTTTGGTATCAGTTTGGGATACAACAAGTAGACTTCTCATCATATCACAACTTTTAAATATGTTTTATGTATGTTGCAGGTGTTTATGCGTGGTTTTACGTGTGGAAAAATCTTTTTCTCTTGTTTTAAGGTAGCAGTGTGTTCGAGCTCTTTACCTCACCTATACTATTATAAAACAAAAATATTAAAAACGTATTATTTGGCTTAAATTAATTACGCATTAGCGAAATAACAAGAATGATACACAACGAATCATAACAAACATAACCGTTCAGAAACATACATTGGAACCATCTTCACCTTATCTATTATGCTGATAAATTAATAATGTAGTATGTTTTAACGCATTTTTAAAACTTCAAACTCATTAGATAAAATATAGATTCTTTTGAAAACTACAGCTTATCCCAAATGTGTCATTAAGAGTACAGTATTGGACGTAATTTAAAATGTATTTTAAAATAAGAAATATTAAGCCACATCAATGCATTCAAACGTTGTCGAATCTAAACACACATTGCAGGGACCAGGTTTTACAATAAATCAAATGAGAAAGATACTTGCAATTAGTGAAAGATCAAAAATTAGTGATAGCACGTAGTCCTATAAATAAGCCGGTCTAAAATTAAGGGGGAGTTTTATATATTTTGTTTTCACAGATGAATATTCTGTACGTTGATAATGAGTCGGTTTTCAAAAATATGTTGGGACATAATTTACATAATGATTCCTTGGATCATTAGCAAAAAGGTTATACAAACATACGTCCTATCTAGTTTAGGTTAGCGTATGTCTGTTTACAAAACATTCCAATTGTTTCAACACAAAACCTTCATAACTCCTTAACGGTTTGAGCTACAGCATTGAGATTCGGCAAATATGCTCATTTTATTAGCCGCTATCTTTGTGCGAAATATGAATAAACTCTCTTAAATAGTTTCAAAATGGTGGCTTATTTGCCAAACTTCATGAAACATTTCAACTTCATAACACATAACATAACACCTTCATTCTACATGGACCCTATAATTTTACCATAACACCCTCAAGACTAAATAAAATACACACATACAACACATAAAATGTAGTAAATTTACGGATATTTCAACGATAACTTCTTAAGCTTAGTGTTGACGATAAATAATTAAGAAATGCAATTGTTTCTTGGTATAGCTTCAGTTTTCTCCATATACAATGTTAAAAAGTTAAAACTACCTTTTCCTGCACGAACACTTAAAGGACGAAAAGTCCACCGATGCTATCGTCGGTCATAGGTCTTCTTCAGGCCCATTCCTCAGAAACATCCTTACATGTCCAATTGCTTACCTTCTGTATCTGTGCTCCTTGCGGGATGAGGTGTGTGTTCTGCGCCTGTCTGATGGCCTCGTTGGTGAAGTAAGCACCTTCCTTCTGCGGCCGCGCAGAGACTGACAACACGACGCAGGCGCACACAGCAAGTACAGCGGCTACCTTCATTCTACAACACACATTATAGCATTCAGATTAGGAACCACATAATATACGTGTGTGGCTGTTATAATCATAAATAAATTATTAAGATAGTGATGTAACGCCACATACACGTACCAGTATGTGGTTTGAGGTTAAAGGCGAATCAACTGAATGTGCTATGATTACCTAACCTATTACAACTAAATTAAATCCCAGATATAAACCTAATCCAGAGTCTTAAACAGAAGTTGCCTGACGTTAATTGTGCAGCTCAGTAACCTCATTGCCTAGTTCTCTAGGTCAAAGTAAATTTGTATCAGGGTTTCAAATGTTTTTGTACAAACTAGTGAATTGACATTGTCACTAAATATCAACCTATCAATGTACACCTCTGGGGAGCGAGCTGGCGTAGTGGTTAGAGCGCGGGACTTCAGTCCCTGAGGTCCCGGGTTCGATCCCCGCCAAGTCACCAATGGATTTTATCTAAGTGATAATGCCGCAACCCCTAGGTCTAGCCTGAAGTATTGTGAAAAACAATCCCAGGCTCGTGCCTAGCGTCCTTAGGACAAAAAAAAAATCAATGTACACTTCAGTATCCAGCCAAAAGGACTAAAATGGACTATGCTTGAATAAATAGTTGCTGTGTTGTTGAAATTGCAAAAACACCAATTATGTGATCATTCAAGACTGAATTCCTCCATTTCAAAACTGCATTTTGTTCTTAGCTGTATCCGGCCCAAAGGACTAAAATTGAGGAGTCATCTGGAATAAACGATTATTGCGCTTAGAAGATGCTACAAAAACGATTATGTGTACAGTATTATCTGGAAAACTATTCAATTCGCTAGACGACAGACAAATTTAATTTTTCCCAGTTCACTCGAAAGATACAGTTTTTTACACACCGTATCCAGCTCGAATGACTAAAATTGAGATGTCATCTTGAATTAACAATTGTGGTGTTGTTGAAATTGCTCCAACAACTATTATGTGGACAGTATAAACTGAAAAACCAATTCAATTCGCTTTACGTCAAATAAATATTATGTTCCAGATCACCCGGAAGGCACAATTTCATTCTGACCAGGAAAGAACAAGATAACAATAGCTAACCTGTAACAATTTCGCGGTCTTTGACACTGTCGTTACATTGTCGGGGTATTGTCTTGTATTGGACAATAACAACGCATGAATGAAACTTTCTCTTTGTTGTTCCAATAGATGAAGTAATTGTTCACGGTTCAACTACTTGTAAAATAACCGTTGCACTTTGTAGCTGCATAATGTCAAGCCTTCCCCTAAGACTTTTTCTACCTTATTGAAAGCATTGTGAACAATCTCGCTATAAATTCACGTACCGTTTGTTAAAATAGTGGTTTAGCCGTTGATAACCCGTTTTTCAAGCGTACAGTGTCACTTACCACCCGTACTTAGCTTATTTTGAAATTTTTACGTTTTCTTCCATCTAATAAAACAACTTCACTCAAACGATTGAGGTAACAGACACATCAGTCATGCCATAACAAAGCTAAATCTAGAAATCTAACCTAAGTTAGCTCTGCTTCTTTCTAGTTTAGAGCTGGCGTGCCTCGAGGTAATTTTGGCAAAGAGCAATGGCTCAGTGAACAACGCATCCTCTAATTTTTAGCCCAAAGATCAAACGTTTAGCTTGGAACTTTTCACCAGTTGAAGTTACAGGGGTTGCATCTACCCATATCGGGGTCAAATTGGCCTTTAGAAGCCCTCTCTATTTACGGGTAAACTACTTTTCTCTACTAATGGTGGCTTGATTGTAAATTATTGTTTGGTTACTTGAGCGTATGCCAGAAAGATGGTCATATTGATCACGTGGCAGATGGTTAGCAATGCAATGGTAGATTTGGCTAAGAAGCTTTCGTTCAGAAGGAAGATTCTAGAAGATGTCGGAATGGATTAATTTTGTATTTTTATTTTATTTCCAATACCTCCTCAAGGTGGATATCAGGATGGGATATGATCATATACCATCCAGGGAAGAGGAGTAGGCATTAACGTTTTGTTTACTGTTCTAACTGCCCCGTTAAGCTGTAAAAATCCACACTCTTCAGTATTGAGACTGCGTATCTGAGCGTGACAAGAACTTATGTTCAGCTACCGGGGACATAAGATACAAGGATGATGTTAGCAGAAAATGACGTTATCCACTCAAGAGAAATCAAGAAAACGCTGCACTTTATTCGCCCTGCGGGTTGCGGAATTATCACTTTGATAAAACCCATTGGGGATTTGTCAGGATTTGAACCCGGGACCTCAGGGACCAAAGTTCCGTGCTCTACCACTAGACCAGCTAGCTCCCCAGTAACAAGATACTATGTATTAATAACAATTCAAAACTTATTTTTAGCTGTTTAATTAATAGCAATATTCGTTTGAATTTCCATAGCAACCCATGATTAAAAATTACAATTCGACGAAACCTCAATAAAATGTTAAGACAAACATCTTTGGTGACAAAATTGATAAAAGACTCTAAATTGTTCCAATTGACGAAGAGGTTCGAAAGTGAATACTCCTGTGGGATTCCTCCTTTTCAACCAATGAAGCCTGATCCCGATGCGCGTCCTCCTCCATTCCCGAAGGAGTTGGTGAGGCCTCCTTGTTTACCCGGTCAGGAGACAGCAAGATATGGATGTGGGGGTATGCGAGGACTCTACTGCCCAACGGAGAAAATAACCTACCGGTATCCTTCTTTCTCTGAAAACATCGACTTCATTCCTTCTGGGACTGTGGAGTGCTGGTGGGCCAAGCCGAAACACTGCGACTACAATATAGCGGATCATGAGGACTCCATGCCATTGAGAGTTTGAGGAAAAGAAGAAGATGATTGAAATGTGAACACGCTTTAAAACCTTGAAGCAAAAAGTTGAAACGTCGAGGTTGTTGTTTTGGCATCTTAAGCAACGAAATTATAATGGATTTCTACATAACTTGGGTATTTTTTACGATATAATAATAGTATCAATACTGCTGTACTATCTAATAATCTAACTACGAGTAGATTAACTGTATGGTAGATGATTAATTAATCGATGGAATTAATTCCCATAAAGAAAATGCTATCCAATCTTGAGTAGGTAGTAAAAGTCATGAAAAGCAAAAAAATATGATCTATTGGTAATGCTTTTTACGTGGTACTTTTCAAATCTAAAATTTTAGTTAATTTTTTAAATCAACCGACAAGAAACAACAACATTTTCTTCTACAATAATTCCATAAATTTTTTTGGTAGCCGAGAGGTTAAAATGCTAATCCTTCAAATCTGAAGGTCGCTGGTTCGAATCCAAGAGAGATCGTTTCCAGAGCCAGATGCTATTTTCATTGGGCCATGAACTAATGATGCTATCTAACAAAAAGGACGATGTTAGATAGTAACAAGACCAGGGTAGGGTTTGGAACGTTCCATTTCTACAACGTAAAAAAATGCCACTGGCGTAAAAACTCACAAAAAATTGATTTTAAATTAAACTATTTACTTAAACGACCTAAGTATTCATTGCTAATTAAAATGATATGATGAAACCTTTTGAGAAAAATAACCTCATAATGGTAATGTTTAAATACGGTATAAAATACCTTCCTTTCTAGGAATGTATTTCTCTTTCCTGACGACCTCGACGTAATTACTCAAGTTATGAAATGAAGTAATTGAGTGTAATTAAAATTTCTTGTGCAACTTCTGTTTGCTTGACGAAGGTCGAAAAGTATTACAGAAAACAGTTAAAACATATCTTCTTCGTAACATTACAAAAATCCTACTGGGTATGAGAGTTATTATTGAAGTACTACTATTAAGTATTATTATTTAAGTAATTATTGCACTAATTATAAACGTAGTGTATTTATCAAGTGACTAAACACTTTGTTTTAATCGCTGTTACTTATTGCCATTTTGATTTCAATAAATACAAATTTTTAATAGGATCGAGCAATTGATTTGAAATGTAGTATCTTGATTTGAAACAATTATTTGTAAATAATTTACTATAAGTTTACTCTATTTATAGTTTCTTTTAATTTCTCGTATGTGTTTAAATAGCGTACTTTTTGTTTTGGATATTTGAAACATGTCTAACTCAGATTTAAACATAATTTCGTATGAGTAAATGAACAATATAACTTAATACAGGAAACGATTTAAGATTTCATTTTTATGTCGCCAGAGGTAAAGAAGCACTGTTCGTTCAAATCGATATAAATACCGTTAACACAATAACTCAAGTATTTTTGATCAGATTTTAATTAATTTGGGATGAAGGTGTCTGGCTGTTAACTTAGTTCCTGAACCAGTAAGATCGGGTCATGGGACCGGGGTGTTATAGAGTTTTGAAGATTAAAAAATTGTGTTTTTTTAAGTTTTTAGCTTCAAAACATAAAATGCTATAAAATGGGTTAGGTAGAGTTATACGGAGAAAATTAAAAACTGTACATTTAAAATTTATTTAATGTTACGGAGAAAAATGAAACTGTTGTAGTTTGCATGCTCATGGATGTATTTCAATCAAATTACGCAAATGTATTTAATTATAAGATATCAACATTTCACACAAAAAACACTTAATTACCACAACAAAAACTTAACTACTCATTTTAACTGAAAGTTATTTAAATGGAATTCATCTGATAACTTCAAGGAAATATTTGAGTGAAAATCTAATCAGACAAATGGAAATTCGCTTATTCTGCGGTATGCTGCGGGGGGGGGGGTATTTATTTGTGGAGTTAAACGAGTGTTCCGAACTATCCCAACCAAACCAGAAGGAAAATAAAGTTTAGTCAAAAGAAATTCACAATTACATTTTAGTACTGTAATATAATTTAAAATTGACATTAATATACTGTAACACGAAATTATTACCTACATCCAGATTCCTCTTATAAAATGAATGATACGAAAAAATCAAGAAATCGACCCTCTAAAATTCCCCAACAACCTCATAAACAACCTAAGCTTATAAATTTATAATGATAATTAAACAAGAATAACTTTTTAAGGGGTTACAATCTTCAATTTCTTGTTTAGCTAACTTCCAAACAACATACAACAATACAATGATCAACACTTTAAAATAGAAATATACAAGCGAATTGAAATAATCTACAATAAAATCTTCATCCGCAATTACTTTTTACTAATGCCACAGTTAACTTTAAAATACAAGAGGAGCTCAGAGACTAAATTTACCACGAACGACTGTGCCCCTAAACATATTTTCCAAGAAATGTCAAAAGATGACTACTTAACTATGAAATCAACAAAATAAATTCTATCAATAAATCAAGTCAAACAGAAGTTCGACATTTAAAAGAGGCAAGTTTGGACCGTTCCTATACAAAAAACTTAAACAATACCAGTGACGATACAAAAAAAAAAAAACTGAATCACAAAATATTTAGCCTAAGTACAATAAATATTTAAGAAGATATATAAAAGTACCCACCTGATATTTCACTGATCTTACCGGCGCCTGTACCGACACTAGCAGAGCGACGGCTGTTGCGGGGGCTTTATAAACTCAGCTGACCCCTTTGGCGGGACCGCGGGACTTTCTCCGCTCCGGATGATCCTCAGATGATCGCCTCTTACGTCATGACCGGGGGAGGAAGTGGAGAGTGGTGGCAAAGCTTAAGCGTTAATACGTGTGTATATGATGTGGAGGTCGTCGGGAGAAACAGGTTGACGAAGTTACACAAAGATGCAACAATGAAAAGAAAAGTGGTCCAAAAACACTTCCCTGTGGTACTCCATGAGTGAATTGAATATTTTGTTGTTAATATATAGTTACAGTAGATTCATTTAAACATATTGCCTACCCGCGTTCAAACTACAACACACTCTCCCTTCACCTCCACCCGACAAATAGTAGGCCTAACGTTATAACACAATTTATGGTAGGCCACAATAATTTTTTTATAAACTCTATGGTTTTGTACAAGTAATTTCAGTTAAGTTAATTCAGTGGTTTTGTTGTAATGTCAAGACATTTTGACATTGAATTTTTTGTGGTGTCCATCTATACATAGTTACAGCAATAGCATTGAAAATTCGAAGTTTGTCTTTATATTACGCAAAAATTACTAGGCTAAATGTATTGGAATTTAACAAAAACACAATCAACAGACCTGGGGTTACTATAGTCTATCTAGTTAACGATATCGACTTTATATGTTCCCCATGAGCGGGGGACTTTTGGAAGTAAATATTGGTATGATCTCCATGGCCACAAAATAAGAACCACTATATTGAAGGATGTTAACGTGTGCTCTGTTTAAGTTTCTGTAATGCTATAGGCCAAAATATCCTACATTCAAACAAACTGATTAAAAACTTTAAAATTCGACTTTTCGTAAAAATATGTTGATTTGTCATCTGTGGAGACTCCATGGATGAGAACACCGTTTTATACAAGCAGTTGTGGCACTATAACTACTGTTTTTCTTCTTTAAGGAGGTAGTTTCAAAAGAATAACTTTATTATTTCATTTGTGTATATGCTGCAGACCACGATTACAGCTACACAGTGTACAGTGAAAAGCCCCCCATACACTATCGAACATGCCACCCGACCTGACAACCTGACCTGACGACGGACCCATCATCCAACCTGACTTATGTTGGATGTTTCCCACACACTATCGAGCATGTTACCCAACAAGTCAGGTGAAATATTAGTTCTGAAATGGATTTCGAGACGACTGTAGCTGTTTGTGGGAGATTTTTAGCGATGATTTTTAGAGATTTTTAGAGCCTACGGAACGAGGCTCTTAAATTTTAAATTTTATTTTTAACGAACTTTAAATCACACTCTGGATACAGTTCCTTGCACTTTTCCATCAGAATATCGTGCCCCTCTTTATGCACATGTTTATTGCAATAGAGTTTACTTTTGACATCACACAACACCTTCTGGTCTCTGTAGAGTTAAATAAATTCTGGCCAGAACTGTTTATTATCATTAAATTACATTAGGGAAAATGGGACGGTTATCACACACAACTCGCTAAATACAAGTCAACTGGAAACTGTGGCTAGTCGGGCGAGCAGTTTGACGGTTTCCCACACACGGTCCAACCATCGATGTATGATAACTCCCATGCATAATAAATCGATGTATAATCGATGTATGTAGTAGAGTATTAAGCCCCCCATACACTATCGAACATGCCACCAGACCTGACAACCTGACCTGACGACGGACCCATCATCCAACCTGACTTATGTCGGGTGTTTCCCACACACTATCGAGCATGTTACCCAACAAGTCAGGTGAAATATTAGTTCTGAGATGGATTTTGAGACGACTGTTAGCTGTTTCAGGGTGATTTTTAGCGATGGTTTTAGGGATTTTTTAGAGCATATGGAACTAGGCTCTTAAATTTTCAATTTTATTTTTAACGAACTTTAAATCACATTCTGGATACAGTTCCTTGCACTTTTCCATCAGGATATCGTGCCCCTATGTGCATGTTTGTTGCAATAGAGTTTACTTTTGACAGCCCACAACGCCTTCTAGTCTCTGTAGAGTTAAATAAATTCTGACCAGAACTGTTTATTATTATTAAATGACATTATGGAAAAATGGGACGGTTATCACATCACGCACAACTCGCTATATGTTATATGTTATATGTTATAAATACAAGTTTACTGGAATGGAAACTGTGGCTCCAATGTCAGGCGGACGGCTCGAGTCGGGTGGTGCTATCGGACCGAGCATCCGACCTGACATATCCGTCGAGCATGTCGGGTCGGAACCCACACACTGTCCAATATGTTCGACAAGACGTCGGATCCCGACATGTCCGTCCAACATGTTGGATAGTGTATGGGGGGCTTAATGATTGGTTAAATGCCTCCGTGAACTGAAGCCATTTATGTTCACTCTACTTGTTAATATTGTTGACTACTTCTATATATAATTTTGTCAATTTTGTTACATACTAAAACGATTTATTTTATACATAAAAATCTTGTGCTGGTAATAAAAAACAAAAAAAGAGACTAATGGAACCGGTTTTGCAGCAACGAAGGAATATGTGTTTTCTCAAGGGGCTAAAACAGACCTTATGATCTGAATCGTGACAGAAAGATAATTTGTAAGATGTCGAGTTTTGATACATCCTCACTGACATTGGCCGGGCCATTATTCTTGTTTTATCCGACGGCGTGACGTCACGACCACGACCGGATGTAGACGTTCCCGGGGGATTCACGACATCTGGTCAGCCGAAAAGCGGGACTGCCGACCCTTGGAGTTCGGGAGAGGTCACCAGGAGGAATTGGATGTTTAAGATTCTTCATTTTTCGGGAGATTCGCAAAAAATACCGATGAACCCTGATAAGAAGTCTCATGGGGATTATCAAATATGACTTATCATCGTTGACTTCTTATCAAGGTTTGCAATAGCGTGTGATTAAGGGTGTATAAATTCAAGAATATGTTAAAATGGTACTTGTTATCAAGGTTCCACTGTACTTCTTCTAATATCTTCATCATTGATCACACATTCATCATTCTATGGCTTAAACCAGCCATCAGCGATTATTCCCGAAAAAATCAACATGGAATGTATACTTGTACTGTATTTGAAGTTTAAAATAAAATCCAAATCTGAATCGTATTAATAATGCTAAATCCATATCCATACTAAATCCATACTCCATTGTTGTCCAGATTCACTCGTACTATGAAGACTGAGCAATCCAAAGGCATTGACTATGGGTTGACTTTTGATTCATTGTCTGAAACTCTACACCACAATGGAAGATCGTCTGTCATCCTCATCCACCACTTCAATCTCCCATCCAAACTCTTCAGAATGAAAGCGGTTGAACAATGAACACTGCGGACGATTAATTTTACATAATTATAAATTGAGATGGGGATGCCTGCTAGGTATGTATCTTAACTCAAATATGAGTGAAGCATGAGTGTAGAATAGAGTGAGATGCCTGAGCTGATTTTTAATGCATATGTCGTGAGTGTTCACTGTTCTCATGACGCGTCACGTAGATTTCAAGATCCATTGATGGGCTAGGAGGATGGCCTAGCCATTGAGGATTGATGACATGAGGGTTAACATGAAGGGGCTAACATTGAGTAAAAGTCGCCACAGAGAAGTTGTATCACATAATCAAAATGTTTGCGGAAATCAACTGCTGCCAACAGCCTGAACGTTTAGGCAGGTCTGCCAACGTTTTCTTCCGGAATAAATAAAAGCGATTTGGCACCAGACAAACAACCAGTGACCACTGAATGCATTAAGGTCCTCAAATTTCTCTTTCATATACTGAACCACTGCAGAGTGTCAGTAAGTTGTATAATTGAAAGCCAGTTTTCCGTAAGTTTTTCAATCAACCTAATTTATGTAGTGTAGTATTCTATGTCAATTTGTAAAAGGGTAAAATAATAGTAGTGGTGGTGCAAAAACACTTCCTTACTTTCAGGTAGGTAAATCATATAATTCCACCCGGTCGATTTGAGTGTCGATTTCGAGTAACAGGCGGTATTGTTATTATACAATGGTACCGGAACCGGAAATGAACAATGTCACCAACCGAAACGTGAAGTTGCGCTGAATTGCTGGAATATGAACAATACGTTGGCTAGAACTACAATCCACGAACATAGGTGTAATTTCGTAGCGATGAAAACATTGACTCGAACAGTTATTACACTCTGTGCTGTAATCTATGTTTAGTAGGAATATGTAATTAAATCCAATGGCAACGTTTTACGAACTGTTTATAGAAAATCCAATGTTGTATGCTACGTTTTTTCATGTCCCACCTTTACATCTTAGGAAGGGCTTTTTACCTCGGGCACCGAAGCCAGCTCTACCACTAGACCAGCTCGCTTCCCCCCATGCTGCGTTGGTACATGAGAAAGCTCACACAATTTCTTCTTTAATAATACAATTTATTTGTGTGTATAGGTTATTTTATAATTTATAGCTATTAGAAACTCGTTACTATAATAAAGTCTTACTAACATAATAATAGTGTACAATAGGTGTCATACATTGAAATTGTGATAACATTTTGAACGATTGTATGGGTAGGTCATTGTATCGTTATATGACTGTAGCAACATTATTTAAGTCTAAATAACTACAATCACATAGTAAAGAGTAGGCATGCAAAGTAGACATGTATACTAATCTTTGTTACGATGAAATAAACAATTAGAATGTTTTCGAACCGCCAAACTATGTCCACAGTGTCTTACCAACTAAAGAAAGAACAAACAGCACAACTAAACAAGTAGGCCTAAGTTTCTCATCAATGTGTTTTTCGCCAATCAAACTAGAATAACACTGTAGAAACAACGCGAACATGTACGGATTTTCAACCCACCAATGCCTCATTCATACCATTACATTTAAACTAGAAACAAACAGTATAGTCACAACCTGTTGTACAGCCAACCCAGATCCCACTAGTAGCATGGCCAGCTATATAAATTCAGAACACACAGTTACCGC